CCATACGACTAGCTACATTTTTGAAATTTAAGTAGTCCCCCCCTATTGGCGAGTGATAAAAACCGCCACTCCTTTGGCGTGCACGAAAACACTTAGGTGCGATATTCAACCGGTGCGTAATGCGTATTGTATACCATATAGCATCTCAACGATACGGGCAGAGCTGATTCGAATCGCGTTTTAAAAGCATGTGTACCGAAGTGTCTCGGCGCGCGAGTATAAAATATGCGAACAGGGATCGGTTGAATGATACAGAAAGAATATATGTATAACCTCGAATACAAACAGTTCGCAAAGAGGTCTGTATTTGAATATTTCCAATAAAATATCCACTTGGACGTCCCATTCGAGTGACACTTGAGAAGCTTTTAGCAAAAATTGCTATAGGATTTTTGTTTTATTTTATTTTATTTTCTTGAACCGCTAAAGAAAAACACATTCGCTACTAATACTATTGTTATTATTTCTTCGGGGAAGATTTTTAGCTTCTTTAATTCATAAACATGGTCTACTTGCTAACTCACTATATATATATATATATAAACCTATTATTTAGCTAATCTCTTGCTTTTTTTTTTTTTTTAGATTAATGAAATGAATCTCCGCTAATAAGTTTCGAATCCAATCAATTTACTTTTGCACCAAACGAGAAGTGCAAATCTAATCGTTTGCAAATCATATTCGGAAAATACCGTTTCGGGAAAAAAAACGAATTCTCTTGTGTAACAATACGTTATTTGGTATCGTGTTTGAAAATACATTCACGTTCAGTTCGATACAGGAAAACGTAAGATATCGAGTAGAAGGGCGTCAGCGGCACAAGACGTTGTACGTTATTGTCCTTAGACGGACTCGAGGTACAAAAACGGTTAGAAAACCAACAACATCGCGAAGAACGAGAAAATACCGTGTACATCTTCACGCATAGGTTACGACGAGATTCGGTACAGTGTACCCATACGTACTGCTCGGTTCTCGCAATTCTCATTCGGTTAAGTACCTCGAGTACAAATATTTTGTTTTCCACGACCGTATATATTGTAACAACGTACACTCCGCGTTATAATATTAGATCAGGGGTCGGCAACTCGCGGCCCGCGAAGCAATTTTTTAAGGCCCGAACAAAGGTGGTTAATTTTTGTGTTTTGTTTTTGTTCAATAAAATTTCCATAAAATTTTCAATACTATTCAATTATTTTTTCTTTGTTAATAAAACCTAATCTAACCGTTAATAGTTGTCGTTTATTCTATGTAGTTATATAGTCAGTTTAATCTATAAAATTGTTATTATTATCTAATCGGAGTCGAAGATAATGATGGCTGCACTACTCAGCCATAGGATAAATTAAATATACTTATATATATTTAATCTATGGTCATAGTTACTTTGCGTTTGTAGCGATTAGTATTACACCGTGATTACGCCCGTACGTGTGACTGTTTGCGTTTGTAACAATTTCATTTTACAAGTAAATTATGGCGACTAAAAAAAGAAAAATTTGTAATGAACATCGTTTTTTTTTAATAATTCTTGGGTTGATTTATACTTTTTCGTCGAAAACAAAGGTAAGCCATTATGTTTAATTTGTCAAAAAATTAAATTTTTTCTTAAAACCAATTTTTTGCAGTAACGTTCGTATTTTTTACACTCAAATTTCTATATAAAATAATCTAATATAATAACAATACAATTATTAGTATATATCATATGTAAAATTTTTTTTTTTAATGTGGCCCTTGATAAACATTTGAAAAAAAAAATATGGCCAGCGTGGTTCAAAAGGTTGCCGACCTCTGTATTAGAGCAACGAAAACCGTATTGACTGTGATAGACGTGTGCACCGAACGAAAAATTCTATAAAATTCTAATAAATAAATTTATTGATGCATTTGCAATATAAGGGGTTTTATATAGGCAACTTAAATAAATCTTGATAAACAATTATTATATTTCCCAATTATAAATTGATCAAAAATGGAATCCACTGTTAACTATCGAGTGATTAATTCTTGAGGAAAACTGTAATATGCAATCAATACTTTTCAAACATATATTTATAATACAATTATCAAATATTTAATATATATATATATATATATATATATTACCATTGATTATATATAGTATATGATTATTACTAATCAATGATATTAATTAAGCCGTGACAATAATTCTTTAACTCATTAAATGTATATAAATAAAAATATTATCTTAAAATGAATAAAAAATGTTGTAACTTAAATATTTCAAGTTTTATTATATAAATTAAATTATTAATATAATTATTTGAAAAAAATCAAAATATAATGTTATTATATAAAAGATTATTTCATTAGGGACTAGAAAATATTAATCATTATATAATTATATTATTTATAACAAGAAAAATAAACATTTTAAAATATTCAAAATATATATTAATAATTAGCTGGTTAAGCAAATATAATTCATATTCAATGTTTTACTCAATTGAAACATGTATATAACTATAAAATATTATTAAAAAGAAAATTGAAACTAAAGTTAATATAATCTAAGCATTGTTGAAAACTAAATTTCATTTAAAAGTGTTTTAATATGTTGAAATAGCATATCATAATATTATTATACTTCCTAAAACACAAAAACCATTCCATTATATTTAATAACAGGAATTCACTTAATGATCTGAATATAATTTAAAAAATAATGACTTTAGACTTAATATATTTTATTATAGATAAGGATTATTACAACAATATTGATAGACTTTAAAAAATAGGTATATTTTGATTAAAAATATAAAGATTAATAATATTATATGTATACGAATATAATAACGTACATGCAAGAAATTTCAGTATTTTTATAAAGACAAAAATACATAAATACATTACTTAATTAATAGTAATATCTTAATTCTGATTTAAATATAATTACTTCTCACTTTCTTTCACAGGAACTTAACTTTCTGATGTTTGGAAAAAATAATATTATACATTCCATTCAAACATAACATGTGTAATGAGTAAGTACACCGTTGCAACAGCTACACTTCCCAACATCACTGGATATCCAACTCTGCCAATAATAAAAATATATATATATATGTATATATAATAAGTATAACATTAAATATCCTGAAAAGAGGTAATTAAAAAGTAAGTCATTTGATCTATAGATTAAATAAATTATTAAAATTATTTAAAGCAATTTTTTTTTACAGTTTTAAATAATATATTTCATATTTTCCCTTTTTTCATAACTAAAATAACATAACACATAAATGGCATAGGAAGATATTTTGAGGATAAAACAAAAACAAGCTATAATACATATAAAATAAAAATGAATTATAAATGATTTTTAAAAATTCTTTAAATATTATATTATAAGAAAATGTGACGTTGTAAGTCACAAAGAGTTAAATATATTTTCAAATATTAAATATAAAAATCTCTAGATGAGTCATTGATAAACATCCACATTTATTATAAATGATATACATAACAGAGATGGGACTTATTATTCACTAAGGTAAGCTCTAGTTCATTGAACAATAAAATACCTATGTTAAGTGAATGAATATTCAAAATGAACAATAACTATTAGTTCATTTAAGATTAATATAGTTTACTAGTGAACTAGTTCAAATTATTAAATTAGAATAATAGTTTAATTAAACTAAGTCATTCTCGGAGACACATTTCTATTATGAAAGTATTACCAAGAAAATTAACTAGATTCTAGATACATCATGTTTTGAACAGCCAAAAATTATCTTTCATATAAATCTATTCTTCTAAGTTCTAAAAATAACTGAAATATACTTATAGAATAATGTAACAAACGGAATATTTCCAAAAAAAATATTTATTGCATAATTTACTTGAAAAATTGCATAAAAGACATTCTGTATCCATGTTGTTCAGCTACTCCTGCACATACCATGTTACATGAAGCAGCAATAAGAGTTCCATTCCCTACAAAATTATTAGATTTAATATATAAATAAATAAAAAATAGTTTATGTATAGAAATAAATAAAAGAAAGCTTAGCCTGGAGTATTATTTTATTTGTAAAGTACTTTTAAGACTGATTTCAAATTAAAAATGTATCATCAGGTTATATATAAAGTTAATAAAATTGCAATAGGAATAAATTAAGAAAAAATAGTAATTATAATAATACTCCAGGCTAAGCTTTTATTTATATATATAAATTTACGAAAATTTACCATTTAATCATTTTTAATTTTAATTTTATAATTTAATAAATTTTATTGATTTTATTAAATTAAATTAAATTTTTTTTTAAATCTTACCACCAAGACAGCCTCCAAATGCTAAAGCATAGACCAGAGGTTGTAATGATAATTCTAGTTCATGATTTTTGGATAATGAAGTTATTACTTTTATCATCATAGTAGTTAATGGAATATTATCAACAAATGAAGACACAATAGTTGAAACCCAAAGAATTAAAATAATTGCAACAGCCAAGCGGTATTCTTTATCAACACTCATTATTATCATTTGAGTTTGCTTACCAACCCATTCGATCAAACCTAACTCAGATAAAGCCTAAAAATCAATAAAAATCAATTAATTATTTTTTATTTTTTGTTTAACAAAACATTACTCCAATCAATATGAATAGAGCAGCAAAGAATGACAATGTAGCCCATTCAATTCGACCAAGTACACATTCAATATCAACATGATCAGCAAGTATAAGTAACAGCAACGTTCCAAGTAAAGCAATCCATCCAAGACTAAGATTCAATTGAGGAATTGAATGGAGGCAAAAAAGAGTAATAACAAAACCTAATGTTATAGCACATTTCCATAAAAGGTTTTTATCTAAATTACTATCCTGAAAAAATATAATAGTTATTAATTCAAAAAATTGTATTAATAATTTTATCTCCTTACTTTATTCAAAAAATCCTTAATAGAGTCATCATAGGATTGTAATCTGAAATACATGTAGATAAGCTTAGTTAGGATTCAAAAGCACAAAGAACTTAAGAGGTAAAGGCATAATACAATTTTATTAATAATCTTAAATATAAAATAAAAATTGTATAATTAAGAAAAATATTAAAACACATATTATCATACCAACAAGTATCCATAAAACCTGCCCTATTATACTAATTGATCATTATTTAAAATATTTGTCATAAGGTTTCAACTATTTTATAATTGTAATAACTAGGGCTCGGAAGTTTATGACCACAAAAACATTAAAAAATTACCTAAAAAAAGATACAATTATGACATAAAAATGACAAAAAATGTCCTTAAAAAATAACCTAAATAATTACAAATATTTGTTTTAAATTAATAAAAATACCTTTTTTTTTTAAATATTTAATTTTATTTTACTATAACATTCCACATAAATTTATCAAAACTTACAAATTACTCAAAAATCTAAAACCTTGCATTGTATGATTAGATCGTATTTGATGTTATCATAAGTAAACAAATGACGATTATGTGTTTATAAATAGGAAATATATTTGGAAAAAATTCTCTCCATGTTCACTGAAATGATTAGGAGACGCAGACGAGCACTAACGGGTTTTTTAATTTTCACCATTTCGAAAATATTATGAAAAATAATAAAATTTAGATATAATAGGTATTATTCACTATAGCATGAAAATAAAGCGACGAGATAATATTGGACACTAATTGAATATTAGGAAAATATAATAAAATTTAGGTATAATACTATTCACTACAACACGACAACAACGAATGTAATTGACGGGATAAAATCCGATAAGTCTTAAGTTATTGGCATAATGGTCAAAAAGAAACAATAAAAAATGATCTAGTGTGAAATCAGTAAAAATTACTAAAAATGTGGAAAAATTACCTAAAAATATCAAAAAATGACTTGAAAAGTAACGATCACCAAAAAATGCAAAATAAAAATTAGTTATTTGGATTCACATGCTAATGAAACACATTAGTGGCCAGGATAGCATATTCTAAAATGTTCGAAAAAAAAAAATGCAAAATGCATCATCAACTTCTGAACCCTATTAATAATCGTATTACATTCTTACAGAACTTCAATCTTAAGCATAAATACATACTGTAATTTAATTAAAAGTATACAGTTTATATGAAAAAAGTGTGTATAAAAATTATAGTAAACCAAATTTGATAATTGATTCTAGTAACTCATTAATGATGAATATGATTCAAAAACCCGAAAACACCCAGTCACTGTACCTTTCTGCAGGTATATTATCAACTTTGAAACCTTTAAGAGTATCTTTCAGTTTTGAAAATAATATTTTGCATTTTCTCAGAAGTTTATCTCGAACAACTCCTTCTTCTTTTGAGTATGATGATAATGAAGATGCTGCTTTTTGCCAAATTGCCAACTCTTGTCTTAATTCTAAGTAAAAAAAAAAAAATAAATAAATAAATAAAAAATTATTGTTATTTATTACAAATATGAATTTAATGTACAAAATTAATTTTATAATATTTTTAAAATCAAAAATAATATCTACAACAGTAATCTTTTTATACACCTAAAATAGTTTGTATTCAATTTATGAATTTAAATATTTTAGATTTCATGTCAAGCCTATTAAAAAAAAAAAAAAAAAAAAAAAAATTAAAATATGATTTATGTATAATCCAAAGAACATGACTTAAGAACTTAGCAAGAAGACTCAATATCAAAAATGGATATTTTTTGTATATATTGTTTCAGTTCTTTAACTATTAGCCAAAAGAAATTATTACACTGTTAAAATATTGTTAGTTATTTTTTAATGTTACAAATATTAATTTAAAAAATCAATATTTTAAATTAAATTTTAAATAGTTAAAATAATAAAACTACATGCTATAGTTGTTATTACCTACTCAGTAGGTCCTTCTGTACTCTGTGCCTATCAAGGACGTAATCATTTAATGCAAATTCCATTTTACAATAAATCATTATTATTATTATTATATAATATACTTGTGTTAATAAGTATATAATATCTATTAATAATTTTTTGGTCGCTATAATGTAACTAATTAATCCATTTGTAATACGAAACCAGTCATACATTACAAATATAATAATATTTTAGGCTAAGCATTTATTTATTTATTTCTATATTTAAACTGTTTATTTATATACTAGTTGTAACTAATTTTATTTGCAATAAATAATGAAAACAATATAATTCTTATAGTAAAAATCAAGTTCTTTAATTAATTTACCAATGTAAATGAAAAAAAAAAATACAAAATTAATTTACTAAAATTATTTTTATACCTGTAACATTTGTAGGTTCAGTAAATTTTAAATCTTGCATATTACGGAAAATAAACCTTAGATGTAAATTTACCGTGATAAATATGATTGCTAAACCAATACCCATATGCATTGAAAATGTTGTAAAAGTAATTCCCTATAAAATAATCATATCATAATTTAATTTAATCATCACTTATCAATAATTACTTACACTTGCTACAACATCTTTGTTCGTTCCAATTATTACATTTGGTGGATCACCAATTAATGTTAAAGCTCCTCCTAAGTTTGCATAAAATATTATACACATAAGTGTTGGTACTGGATTCATTTGCATTACTTCGCATAATCTTTAATAAGTTTTTTTATTTATCAATTAATACAAATAAATTATAAGAAGAAATAACAAAAAGTATAAAAGGGATAAAATTTATTTGAAACAAAAAATTACCTTATTGTTATAGGTGTCATTAAAAGAACGGTGGTAACATTATCTAAGATAGAAGATACCATAGCAGTAAAGAAACATAATGTGTTGATTAATGGCCAAACTTTACCCTTAGTTTCCTAAAAGAAAAACATAGGTTTCATACAATAAATACTAATCAAACATAAACCAACTGTTTTCAATACTTTATAGGCTATAATTGCCAAGTAGTCAAAAATTCCTGTTTCGGACAAAATACCAACAATGACCATCATACAAAAAAGAAGAAGCAATGTTTCAATGTCTATCCAAGAGGAAAGTTCATCTTTAGTAGGTCTCTAAAAATGAATGAAAATAATAATATATGAAAATAAAAAGTATAAATTACTGACAATTTATTTATTTACTTCATCTAAAAGAGCTAGTATGGCAATTGATGTGGTAGCTGCTAATATTGCTGCAATCGATTTGTGGACAACCTGAAATCCACAATTTATTAATAACTGCAACATTTTTTATAATATGAAATTAAATAAAAAAAAATCAACTAAATAGGAAACAATAAATATTTTTGTCTAATATTTTTAATAATCACAATATAAGATAAAAAATGAAACAGAGAATATTAAAACATGCATGGTATTTATAGATTTAGAAAAAGTGTATAACAGAGTGCCAAGATAAATTTTAAAGTGGGGATTAATGAGAAAGGAAGTCCCAAAAAATAAATTTCATTCAGAATATATATGAAGGAGGAGGATTAGTGTCAAGTGTAGTTTGTATGGAGTAACAGAAGATATCAAGAAATTGACGGTATGAGGAAACCAATGACAATGAGTGGTTACGTGATAGGTGATGTCAAGAACTTTAAATATTTAGGATAATTTGAACAAAAGGACGGGGGTTTTAGCATAGATGTAAAACATAGGATTAAGTTCGGATGATTGAATTAAAGAGAAGCATTAAGAGTTTAATAGGATAAGAGAATTCCAATACAGCTAAAAGGTAAATATTACAGAAATGTAGTGTGACCAACTATGCTATATGGTTCAGAGTGTAGGGCAATTGACAGGAGACTAGAACAAAATATGAGTGTTGTAGAAATGAGAATTCTTTGATGGATGATTAGAGTGACAAGAGAAGATAGAATAAAGAACGAATATGTGAGAGGTAGTATTAGTGTAGCCTACATAGTGGACAAGATAAAAGTAAGACTGAGATGGTTTGGAAATGTGATGAGATGAGGGGAAACAAATGAAGTAAGAGTTGTTATGAAAATGAATGTTAACGGGAAAAGAGGAGAGGAAGTCCAAAAAAGAGATGATTGGATATGATTGAGAATGATATGAGAGTCATTGATGTGTACATAGGGGATGTAGAAAATCGAGACTAGTAGAGGTTTAGGACAAGGGTAGCCAACACCAAATTGTTGAATGAAAGGCAAAGGAGGAGAAGAAAAAGAAGTACTTACTTCGGTTATAATAAGTATATACAGGCCAATCAATACAATTACAGCATAAATAATTCCATATTCTGTATTGATAGGAAACAAATCATAAGTCAATGCTAGAGGAAAGTTAGTGCTTAATGTGGTATTCATACAGAGTTTAGTTTGCCCATGGACATTATCGCTAAAAAAAAAATCTAAATTAGTAAAGAATACTTAGATACTTATTTTAAGCATTTAAATAATCTTACTAGGCAGGCAAATGATTTAACTTGAATATTTGATTATGATGCATTTCAGGAACAACTTCAACTAATGATTCACTTACAATAGGTATAGACCATATTTCAGTTATATTCTTTAAACAATAATTTACTATAGATTACTATATTATTTATATACTATAGAACTGTATATATATATATATATATATATATTAAATAAAAATAGATTATTACATTTAAAATTGATCGATATGAAGAATAAAATGCATATTATGAATATGATTAACCTAATCTTATATTAATACAATGTAAGTTCATCATTGTTTAATATACCTTGGGATAATGATTATTAATATGCTCCAATCTAAAACTGTCGGACATATTATACCTGCTAGATGGTTCAAACTCCACCCAAATATTAAAAAAATGTGTTGCTAAAGAACTGTAATAATCAGGCATAAAAGCTCCAGCAAGCATCAGTTGTATTTTAGTTGAGTTGGGCATATGGTTTTTATATATTATTTGTGCTGAAATTTAAATATAAAAATTTCACATTAATATAAATATACTGGTATTATATAACAATACAGTAGGGTAACCAGGATCTTTAAATGGGAGGGGCTAAAAACATTTTTTTGAGCAGGTTAGGTAAGAATAACTCTGAGAGTTCACCCACAACCCTTCCTCCACCGACAAATTTAAAAATGTATTTCTAACATTTTTAAATAGTTTTAACAATATTTATTAAAATATAAATAATATAAATAATAATTTAACGGTGGTCAGCTGCGGTTGCATCGCCGCGATGTAACATGGTATAAAAACTATAGTGATTTTAAAGCCGAGTTCACAGTATCACAGTAATCGTAGTTCACAGTACACGTGTATTACACCTTTAGATAATATACTATCGAGGAGCCTTAGATAATATTTTATATATATACAGGGGGAGAATTAGGGAGAGGAAGACTGAGATTCATCCCCGAGCGTAAAACTCTAGAGGGTGTAATTTTTGTTATATATAATCTATTATTGATTAGGTACTAGTTTGATATTTTTTAACTTAATTACTGATAATGTGTTTAAAACTCAATAAGTATGACTGTATGCTAATTATAAGAAAGTAATTGTAGGGAAACATATTTTTTTATTCTTGATCTATGATACGGCATAATTTTAACATTTTTCCCAAGAATTTTAATTTGATCCATAGCCTATGGACCATAGGGGAGATGCTATAGCCCTCTTAGTTCTCCCTCTTTGAATACGCCACTGTAACAATATAATAATCATAAAATTATACTTTTACAATACTTTTAGTTTCATTTGGAACCAATGTAATTTGATGAACATCATCTACTTTTCTTTCTTGTTTCGCCATAAGAACTATCTTCGGATCAGAAAACAATAAAAAATTATATTAAACTATACTTTATTAATTGATGAATAACTTACAGTACAAAAGAGCCAAATGCACACAAGTACAACTGAAACAGTATATTCTCGGCCAGTTTTTTTTTTTCCATGTAGAAATGTTTCGGCAGGGATCCTATAAAAAAATAGTGGACATAGTAAAAAATATGTATAGAATCAAATAATCATACTTATCACATGATGGTCTAGATGCCGTTTTAAAAGACGACTCTCCAAGTTCATCCTGTCCTGCCTTAGTAACTGTAGATGACGGGCCTATATAGGGATTATCAAACCTATAAAAGCACCAACATAAGATTATTTTTTGTATTCTTAAGTATATTAAATTAGATGTTAACATGAGGCATAGGTTAGAACAGGGTGATCCAACCCCTTTTGTAGTCGATGGCACAATTTACACTCTCATAAAAACAATAAGTGCAAAACAAAAAAAAAAAAAATGATATTATTGTCGAACAAAACCCGAAAGTCAATAATCGCCGCCTAATAATAACTATACAAATAATAATAATTACTTCCATTATCTCCGACCACAAGAAATCAGATTCACTGTGGTTGTTATAAAAACACGAAATTTATATACGTACTTGGTGAGCTGAATTCAATCATGGTATTAAAAATAATAATAAATAATAATAACCTATGTTTTATGGTAAAAAACATAAAATGTATACAATCATATAAAAATTTTGTTTTAATATTATTGTGATTTTTTTTTAGTATAAGTCTTCTATGGAGGAGGGCCAAAAAAAAAAAGGCTTCGAGGGCCGTTCATTTCATCTCATTATATGAGAATTTCAGGTTCTTCATAGTGTTCGTCAAATTCCTCTGACGTCTTCAACTTGATCCTCAACAATGGATATGGCCGAAACATGAGTTTGCTGTGTCTCAAGCTGGTCATCAAAATGAATAAAATGTTCAACATCAATAACAACAAAAATATCTTGAATTTCAGTCAGGACATTTTCATCAGAATTCACGTCAGACCCATCAATCAGGAATCCAGATTTACGAAAACCGTTTAACGGACAGTAATTGAACTGAATAGAACTGAATGAATTGAACCATTTTATAAACAAATGATGGCAGCATGAATTTACGGTAGTACGACTTAAGGTGTAAATTACTCCTTGGTCCCATAGGTTGACAACCTGACGTAATATTAGGGGATAAATAACATGTGCATTTTTACGTTGAACATTTTGGGATGGCATATCGCGTTGTCTAAAAATAATAGAATATTTCTCTTCTGTGATCGTATACCTATCTGAATTTTATTACATGGTTTTAAATGTAATTTTACGGGTATCGACGATACGAAAGTAACCATTAAAGTTCACCAGTCGTAACTAGCCGTAATCTAAGTTATTTTCCGTCTTATCGGGAGTTTTGAGTCAATTTTGATATGATTACCAGTCCGTTTCCTGTTAAGTGAGATTTCTGTCTTGGCCAGGTTTTACTGTATTTAGGTATTTATAATTTATTTAGTTTCTCAGGAATTAATACCAATTTTTATTTTAATCAGATTTTTTCCTTTAAAAAAATGGTAATTAGTAAAATATTAAGAAAAAAATGTCAGGATTATTTAAACTAACACAAAAGGGCAAATTTGTTTAATACGCTACACCTAATGTTTATTCAAACATTAAAATTAATTAACATTAATTACTAATGTTAGTTATACAATAATGTATTGCCAACGTTCGTTAATGCCACTGGAAGAAGGAGAATAACGTTTCTTCAACATTAAGGGCTTGAAACAGAATTAAAAACTAAAATCCACCAACTATTAATGCATATACACATACACATACTCACACCGGAAAAGATTTAAATATTTTCCATCCTAGGCTTGTAATATTTGCCGTTTTCCTCTAATTACATTAATTATGATTATTATTAAAATTTAATTTGTACCTACAGTAGCATATGATACTTTCACTTTAAATATGATTTATCAATGACTTACATTTTGAAGAATATCTTCTCTACAGTCTATGATTACTATTATGAAAACAATTTATGAATAAATTAATTTTTTATACAGTCATTTAAGGAAAGACAAACCATCCATTGCCATCCACAAATATGCCCCAGCAGTTGGATATATAACTTAAAAACACTTTGTCACAAGAACTTAGTGATGACATCTTACTGTTGTGATGATAAAATTTTTTTTAAATAAAAACGTCTTTCGATAAACACCCCGGCATACGCGATATTGTAAATGTTGTATTGTCATACCTTTGATACATAATGTCAGAGGAGGTATTCTCAATAGCAAATTTCGGATTTCGGATAGCTGAATCGTTTTCACTCGATTCGGGAGGCCGTTTCCACGAGTTCATGGTCCTTGTCGATGATTGATCTAACAGAAGAAACGTATAAATAATTTTAAAAAAAATACATAAAATAAAAAATGTACATTATAACAATATTGTCAGCTCCGATCAAAATGAACTCTAGAGAAATAATATTGTTAATGTTAAATACAATAAAATACTTTACCAGTAAAACGAACGAACACGATATATGGCTATATTCTGTGTATCTGCGATGTTTACTCAAACGGATGATGACGATGGGCTGCCGTTTGAATTGTTTCGTTCGTTCATTGGTAGTTAGAGGTTACATATTGCGTATGCGACGTTGGGAGTATGACGAAACCGAGATGAAAATAACAAACTGTGTATGAAAAAAAAAAAAAAAAAAAAACATAAAATAATTTAAATTTCGTTTAGATTACAATGCGATTGGGTTATTTATTCGACGGCACACGTTAACGGATTGAACGTGATTAGTGCAAGCACACGCGTGTGCTCGTAATGAGTGTACTAAGTCTCGTGCCGTCCGGAGAGAGAAAAAAATAGTGAAAATTATATTCAGATTGTCATTAAACGTTATTATCTACCAGATAAAAACGTCTCGGACGGTATTTCCATTTATTAAAGACGAAATCGTACGTACAAAATTATTGTGTGGTGCACGCCGGACCGAACTCGTCGACAGCGCCTTTTATACGATAATTGTTTACGTGGGTAGGCACGCGTGCCGTATTTTCGTTACTGTTTGAACAAGTGTTCCGGCCCGCACTGATATTCCACGGGAAACGGAACAATAATGCGGGCGCAGTAGGTATTATTTTTTCCATCGATTTATCGGCTGGTATCGAATTGGTTCCCGAGCTCCAAACCCAAATGCCGAATTGGTTCCCGTTTAATTACGCACATTTTCCTTCTCAATTCTATAGGCTAAGGACTGTCAACTTTAAAGTAGACTTGGTTGAACATGTGCGTTAACAGGCGCATAGCCAGGGGGTGTTACAGGTGTAGTAACACCCCCCTCCCCTTCAGCCGTGGTATACTTAGTATGTTTTATCAAGATAAAGATGCATCATAAGCCGTGATTTACAATTATTTATCAAAATGAAATATATATTACGATAACAATAATGTAAAGCACTAAAGCCAGGACCCGGCATTAATTAGCAATAACTAGGCTTAGGGACATATAGCTCTAAAAAATACACAAATATGCATGCAAATATGCTTCTAAAATCATTAAAATATGCATTACAATATGCATTTATATGCATTAAAAAAAAAGAAATTTACCACTTAGTACACAAAATAAAACGTGTCCATCGGATGTAAATGTATCTTTAAACTCCGAAACAAATCTTTGTAGTCGACTACTCGTAGACTTGTACTTTCGGCATTACACAAATATAAATATTTCCTACTGTTCATTGACTTTTAAAAATTGATTACTTTACCAGTAATCACTGCAAGCAGTGAAAGATCTTTTTCCTCTTTACGGCGCTTAAGGGGCTTCACCAACCACGTATTTTTTTAACAAAAACTACTGTTCCTAATTCCAACGCTATGTATCGACTATTATCACGATTTTCATTCTGAAAAAATATACGGATTCTTCATAATATGTACAAGGGAACGATCGAATTTAGTTTAAATTTCATCAAAAACAAATTATTCGTAAATATTAAAGTAAGTTAATATAATGACCTGAATCAAAATGATTTGTGATCAATTTAAATTAAGCAACATACATCTAGCTTAAATTAAAACTAGGGCTGGATATAGCTTTAGTTGAATTTTGACACAACGATTCCAGTTTATCAACTATAAAATATGAATTTCACATGGTTATTCTGAGACAGACTGTTTGAATATAGTGAAACAGTGAACGAATTTTAAAGTCAAAATAAATATATTAAAAGAGCAAAATAAAAACACTTGTGAACACTATAAATAAGAATAAAAACTAAATTAAAATGTACATACTGGGTGTTTTAACAGCACTCGAAGACTGTGAAGTGGCCTCTACATTGACTATCATCATATCATTTTATTGAACAGCTTAAATAATTTAAAATAAATATTATTTTATTTGTATAAAAGTATTAAGGGAATCATATTTTTAGTTAACTAAAGTATACATACAGGTAGAGATTTTATTTATTTTAAAAAAATAACTATCCAAATTAACATTTTGTCTTTTTTTTTTTACATGATTCCACGTGTCTTGTCCAATTAGTATCATTCTCATAATTTCGATCACGTCAACAAAACTCACACGTCAAACTCATAATTAATAAATTAATAGATTTATATATTATTATTAGTATTAGAAAAATAACTCAAAATCACATACAAAATAACGAAAAATAACAGAATGAAAAATTTTGAATCAAGAACATGAGTAAATATACTTTTCAAGTTTTAACCATACTAGTACACAAGGCTCTAAATGTCCAAATTATTTTTGTCTCGTTAATCGTTTTATTATCTTTATCACAAAATGGTTTCTACCATAGAGTATGGACTGTGATATTAAATATTAATATAATTTTTTAATCATTAATTCGAATTATTATTATAGGTCATGGAATGAATTCCGATTTATTTTTTAAAATTAGCCGCTGCTGCAGTAATTATTGCTCAACGACAGAACGCTCCGCCCCACCATGTGTTATGATATGGCGGGTGTGCTTCGGTGTTGGATCTTTATCATTTTTCTGAAAATTGCACCAAGTGCACTATAGCCCCTACTCTGCTAACTGCATTAACTGAGTATTGCTTACTTATTGTTTACTTCTCTGGACACAATAAGTCACTGTAACTTAATATTTAATATTTACAAATTACAACCTTACCTATTTTAAAATAAAAACTCTCGACCCACCCATCCACCACCCGCTAAGAAAGTTCTGGGATATTTACCCTATTTGCCATACGTGTTCGGCGCCATTGATTTTACAACAAGCATCAACTCTAAAACCAGCTCATCCAAGATATGGAACAAAATCCACTTATTAAAAAGTCTAAACAGAAATCAAGAAATTTACATAACGGATGCTTAAGGAACTACATCAATTCCTGAAGAGGTTGCTGAAAAATTTGGAACATACTTTCATGAAAGCTTTTCCAATAACATTTATAAACAAGACTTTATAAACAAAATTAAAACTCCAACAGAAAAAATACCAATAAACTCAACAAAAAGCCCTAATAATAGTGAAAAATCGACCTTAATTCAAATATAACACTCGACGAAATGGAAAATTTACGCAAAAAATGTAAAATCAAAAGCCCCGGCCCTGACAGTATCCCATATTGTTTTATTACTAATCTAGACGAAGTAGCAAAAAAAATATCTTTTGTATGTTTACAATAATATATGGCACTACAGAATTATACTCAAGGAATGGAAAAAAGGAATAATAATCCCTATACTCAAACCCGGGAAAAATAAACATTGCACTGAAGGATACAGACCTATTACACTCCTAAATACAATGTCTAAAATTATGGAAAAATCAAAAATAAAAGACTTATATGGTTCCTAGAAAAAAATGAAATCTTTTCCCATGAACAAAGTGGTTTTCGACATGCCAGATCAACAATGGGCAAGCTAATAACAATCAAAAATGAAATTAAAAATGCATTTGAACATAAACAAATACTTGAAATGGTCAACTTAGACATATTGAAAGCTTATAATTCATTATGGAGGCACAGAATATTAATTATACTAAGTAAAATCATAGCAAACGCTAATATGCTCAAATATATAACAAACTTTTTAGATGAAAGAAATTTCTAGATAAAAATATCTAATACACTATCTAATAGCTTCAGACAAGAAAATGGTATTCCCCAAGGATTGTCACTTGCAGTCACTTTATTTCTTCTAGCTATTAATGACATTGTAGATACAATAAATGCTCCCGTTAGAGCCAACTTATTTGCTGAAGACTTCAACATATTCTGTAGAAGCAGTAACCAAAAAACAGTTCTAGAGTTTCTTCAAAAAAGTGCAAACAACCTAACCGATTGGTCAAAAAAACCGGCTTCTCACTCTACAACCTCAAATCCCAAAGCATTATCTTCACAAAACAAAAAAAAAAAAAATAGAATCTCTCAAAATAACATTAGATAATCAGAACATACCAAATAATGACAAAATAAAAATATTAGGAATAACATTTGACTCAAAACTAAACTGTTAACCTATCTAAAAAATATGCGAGATTCAATGTCTCAAAAACTCAATATAATCAAAATCATATCCTACACATCATGGGGCAGAGACAGTCCAACTCTTCTAATAATATATAAAGTATTAATCAGATCCAAAATAGATTATGGCACTATACTATACAAGAATGCAAACATTAAACATCTAAATATTATCCAAACCGAACTAAATATTGCCATAAGACTATCTATTGGAGGGTTCAAATCCAGTCCAATCGAAAGCATCAGAAACATTACAAATGAAATCCCACCTGACCTTAGAAAAGAAAAACTTCTTCTTCTATATTGTGTCAGAACCAAAAGAAACACAAATAATCCAGCTAATAAAGCTATTAACACATATATACAAGAGGCATAAAAAGAAAAAATATCAATAAACAATATACTTAAAATTAAACCATATATATTTCCATCATAGACTACGTTTAATGCCAACCTCACACTGACAGAATACAAAAAAGAAAACACAATGTCATTTTTATACACAAATTTAAAAACATATTACAAGAGCATCCAAATAGTGAACATGTATACACTGATGCCTCCAAAATAAATAACGAGGTAGGACTGGCGATTATAATAAACAATCAAATAATAGCATACAAACTCTCCACCGAAGCTTCAATATTCACAGCAGAAGCTACGGCTAGATACAAAGCAGTTAAATACATCCACACAGAATATTCTAACACCAAAGTACTTAGTAACTCACTCATTAATATAAGTTCTACTACAAATAGACATAAGACAACTGATATCACAAAACTAATTCAAGAAGAAACCTTTCTAGCAGGTAAAAAAAGAAAAGAAATTATATTCATCTGGATCCCCAGACACATAGGCATTCCAGGAAATGAAAGAGCGGACCATGAAGCATTCATGGCAATTGCGTCTTCAATACTTCCAACCATAAAAAACATCACATATTCTGATTTGAAGAACGAAATAAATCTCCACATAAATAACAAATGGCATTCCCACTGGAGAAATCTCAACACCAAACTCAATAAAATTAAAAACAACACCTACTCATGGCCAAATCTTGAACTAAGTAGAAAAAATAAAACTTTAATTAACATACTTCGAATTGGACACACACAACTTACCACAGTTTTCTGATGAGCCAAGACGAATCCCCACTATGTAACTCATGTAGCGTTCCATTAACGGTAAACCATATCATCATAGAATGTCAAAAATACCAACATTTCCGCAACCAATTCCACATCTCTGAACAAATCTGCCAAGCTCTAGGTCCTAACCCATTAGATGTAAGAAACCTAATTTTATATCTCAAAAAATCTCAATTATATAATTTAATATAGTACTTATAAGTTGTCAAAAATATTAAAATTTAAATACCAATAATGTACATATACTAATGGCCTAGTTGTCGATGTATTTTTGATAAATAAAAAAAAAAACTTCCAATGTACAGAAATCATATGTAATATATAAATTTTAAAAAGTGTTATTCTGCAATTGTATTAACACATTTTAAACCATGTAAATTTTATCTTATATACAGACAACTAATCAATTATATAAAACATATACAATATAACGTTAACACTATAAACAAAAGTTCTAAATACACGCCGTAGACATTCACGGATGTCGAAATAAATGTTTCGAGACTCAAGATTGGAACGTGGTTAGGACATTGGCCTGTTGTTGGCCGTTGACCATTATACTCAAGGCAACAAATTTTTGTGCTTATAAAATATACAACCATAGTGTCATTCGGGTAATATTAATGGTTTGAATACAATCTCGGACGTTTAGGTCATTTCGAATATTGTTTAGATGTGTAGTTTCTGTAAGGTTATTTACAAATATAAGCTATTCACAGTCAACAACACACAAGTGGCCATGTATATTGTATATTTAACCTAGATTTATACGAAAATAATTATAGTATACTCCATGAATATAGCGGTACAATTGCGCAAAATCTATGAATCTAATACTTAGATATATGAAATTGTCCTTCAAATTGTTTTCAAGGCAAGACGAAACAGGTCGCAGATGGAAAACAGAAAACATCAACAGACGAACACGATACATACCTGGGTATCTGCCGAGACCATTGTTAAACAACATGGTATGGTCGTTTACAACGACAGCGTCGCTGTGGCGGCTGACGAATCGAAGGAGGGAGAAACGCACGCATGGTCGACACGGATCCTGAAATAGTGAGTGCACCTGCCTGCTGCGGTGCGGTTCTGCGGTGCGTGCGCGTGTGTTCGTAAATATTTGTTCACCAATGAGTGTTTGCTACTCTAGCATTATTATTATTAATTAATTAATAATTATTAATTATTATCATTATTATTATTATTAGCTCTATTATCCACTGAAGCGAGGAGTTTTTTTTTTGTTTTGTTCTTCCTAACCGCCATGGGCTCAATATTCACTACGTTCATCAAGTGTCGCATTGGCGCGATGATCTTGTTCAACAAGCTGATAATACTGCTGTCCAGGATCGTGGTAAGGACTCTACAAGCCTAACGATTCGTATCAATCATATATTATATATTACAACTGATCACGGACTAACGAAACACCCACACTTATCGTGTTATTACTCGCTACGATTTCATTAACGTGATAATACCTACCTACTTATCATATCGTTACTGTTGTGGTCAGAAAGTCGGCGGGTCGTATTTTTGGCTATTGGCATCTGATCAACACTTTTAAAATATAAACTGTCTTTCTTCGATGTATTTGTTATAGTATTGTATAAATCAATAAAATGCGCACTGCAGACCGAGCGGTAACGATACGTATATGGGTATCTATACATATTTTATCGATCTGGTGTGCGCTGCTGCGTATACGCTCTATAGAGGGTAACTACGTCGTTTGATGTCATCCATGCAGTACATCGATCATTATTTTAAATATATCTGACACGCGTCAATAATACGATGACATTGCTGTAGGTGTATCGATGAACCATATACGTAACATGTGTACTAGAATTCGTCAGACCGTTTATGAAACGATCGACTTGATTTCAAATAAAACAACAGGCTTTTTTTCTTCTGCAAACGAAATTCTGTGTTAAACGAAATGTTTGTTTATTGGGTGGAATCTAAATAAGGTAGAATATAAATTAAACGGGAAAAACTTTGTTTAACATTTTATTTTTAATGATTCTTGCATGTAAAAAAAGTCGCTAATACGCGAAAATCTAGCAAAATTTATCATACATTTAACTGGTTTATTTTCTTTAGATTTAGTATTATAACAGAAACAAATATATAGACACAACAATATAACATAGGACTTAAGTATTCCTAATGCAAAATAACAATGTTTACAATAAATGTTTATACATTTTTAGTTTATACCGAGATAATATACTATAGTTATTCCGATATTGAAATCTGCACACCTTTAATTTAATATTTTTGGTGTTTGTGATTTTATTAAATATCGCTCGTATCATCGTATCGTATCGTTTCATTATGCGTCAGTCCACCATTAATGTAATATGAAACATTCAAACGTATAAACAGATACTTAACCAATAAGAATATTTAGTACAAAATACGTACATGCACGTCACACAACATACCAGTGGATTAGACCAAGGGTTCTCAACCTTTTAAGGTACATGCATCCTTTCGTACTATTTTATTACGTCACGCCCCTTCCACCATAATCGGATTAGATTATCTTATTATATATTATCTTATACTATTTAGAGCCTATTTTGGTTATAAAACAAATAAAACGAAATTTTAAATTATGGAATTATGTTTAATATATATAAATGTGTATATTTTAATATATATCAAGCCTTTAATGTTAATTGTTGGATTAATATAATATTGTGAAAGTTAATGAAGTTTTTTTTAAACATTAAGCTAATTTATTTGTTATAAAAAATATATTATTATAATAATTTAAAATTATTAAAACAAACTATATTATATGCTCTTAAGTACCAAATTTTAAAGTCGTCATTATTAAGTAGATAAAATAAATGAGAGGAGTGGCATTTATTAATTCCAATCAATTGTGACTTAATAATCTCTCGATTAAATATCAAAATAATCAAAAATAACGCTTTCAAGTTTCGTTGCTTTTTAAAGAATTTTACGCCTCCCCTGCAATTGTATCATCGCTCCTTAGGAAGGCACGTCCCTCAGGTTGAAAACCGTTGAATTAGATGATATATATATATCTATATATATATATCTCTAACTTAGATAGCTATATCAGTTTTGAATGTTTTGAACTAATCACTGCGGTTTGAAACCCGTAAAGCTAAATCATTTCTGAAATTCAACAACGCTTATTAGAGAATTCGTTGTTGAACGATTAATTCGACTTCTTATAACTATAAAATAGAGTCAACAAACAATTTCGGCAGTAGTAATTCTTGAAATCTATAAATAATAGACTATTATATATAGTCAATATCAGTCCCTATTTTTCATAAAAGTTCGTACTACACATTTTTTAATATACAATGATATGATACAAAGCTCCTCTCTACCCCCTTCTATGTGAATATAATTTTAGTACAATGTCAGTAATTATTTTTAGTAATAGTTCTTTATTTTAATCGAATTGCACATTATTATTAGTTAAGCTAAAAACCAATCTGATATTATTTTTTAAACTGAAAATATACTTTTGTCTGGTATAAATCTGAAAACTGTTTACAAATTATTTATTTTAATGTGAAATATATAACTTAAAATATAATAGATATATTTAAGTCCTCATCAGCTATCTTGCTTAAACGAACTTTACAAAAAACACCTTCATAGTAATCTAATTTATTAGTATTTAGTAGGTACACACTTTTCAAATCCCGTAGTGCACATTTGCAGTTTCGAACTACATACTTTGTGTCGGGCTTCACTAAAAAATAGGGACTAGTCAATATATATCTATACATATAATAATTTAACTCATACGTAATAGAGACAATTAAGACAAACATTTTCTCGTACAACCGAGGTAATTTTTTTCACAAATTCAACCAGCAAACACGTTTTCTAAATTTCAATAACTGGTGAGTGATAAGTAGTAATAATAATTATTAGATGTATTTTGGCGTACTCATCTACAACCAATTCACTGTGGAAACATTATCGTGAAATATTTTGCGTTTAAATTGGTAAGGTGGGTTTGAAATGATCGCCTTCAATGAACAGTTCCCGAGTAATTTTTATTTTTATTTTTCTGACTTTATAATTAACTAATAAAATTAGTTTGCTCGTTATCGTGTGCATATCATAATAATGTATAGTTGATTTAATATTCACTTATAATAGTTTTAATGTATTTTAAATAATACTTTAATGTAAATTAAATTTATTATGTACGTATGTTTTACTTTAAATAATTTTAAATAAATAAATACATTTTTTAACTATACTTAAAATTTTTATTTTTTTAATATTATATTCCTCCCTCTAAATACCGGACACCTCCAAATAACGGAAAAAATTTCAGCGACCAAGGGTGTCCGGTATTTAGAGGTTTCATTGTACATGCCTAAGTCTACGTCACATCGCTGTTTATATTTCCATGCACATCCATAATATCGTTTGTTATATATCATATAAGTGTAGGTTTGCTATTCTTCCCGGTTTAACCGGGACTGTCCCAATTTTAAAGTTATGTCCCAGTGCCCGGTCGATCATTAAATATGTCCCAGCTATTAGAAGCTGAGAGAAAATAACATTTAATATTGTATCATTTAATAATAAAACATAGAACAATATTATACGTTATATTATATTATATTTATCTAATCGTCATGGTTATATACAATAATAATGTATTTTTGTATTAGCTAATAAATATTAAAATAACAAAATGATATACTTATTTTTGTTTTCATATGAACGTTACATCAAAAAAAAAAAAGGGAATCATTCATGTATCGGTTTAGGGATTTCAAAATCAGACAACCCTATATAGACTCGTATATGTGTATATATTCGAGTGGGTGTTTTATAATGAAGCTAAATATAAATCAGTATTTTGCGTGTAAAATATGCGCGGCGGAAGTGCGTAACACATTGCCCTTGTATACACTACATTCTAGTACAACTGACTAGACACAATATCATGATAAAACTAGTTGGCAAAGTGACTGCACCATAGTTATTATGTAAACGTACATAATGCTGTGCATCTATTACTATTATTTAATAAGCTGGTAAAAAAAGCTTTAATATGTTAACAATAATTAAATAAAATTTTACTTAATAACTAGAATAAAAGTAATAGATAAACGTAAATATATAATTATGGAAAACTATAATAATATAATTAAGACGCTATAATAATATAATGGACACTAGAACAAATTAATATAATAAAAAAATAATATGGATAAATAATAGTAACACATAAAGTTTTAACAATTAATGAATATACAATTATAAAATTAAGTTCTAATTAAATTCAAAGCTATGTAAATATTAAGTTTAAACACAGTTCTGGGCATAAAAAAGAAATCATTATGACTGGTAACATAGGCGTAACTTTGAAATTTATTAGGGGTGGGGGGCAAAAATATAATTACATATCTAACGAATAGGGTGTCCGAGGATAAACGCCGCTTTACTACCTACATATTATTATATAAAATTATTCATTTTCCAACATTATGTTAGATAAGCGAAAATTTAAAATTAATATTAAAAAAAAAATGTTATAGTAATAGTTATAACCAGCTGTTTTGTACTTATTTTAAAACAAGGTATGTTAAATATTATAGGGGCACTGTCCTTCCCAATTCATTCTAGGAGGCAATTTCCCCCCTTGACCCCCCTAGTTTAGGCATATGACTGGCTAAGGTTAAAGCATGAGGGAAGAAAGATAGGCAGCTATAATTATTTTTACACAAAGGAATGATAAACAAATTTGATTTTCTCGAGCAATGATTAGTTGTGTTAAAAATTATTAAAGATAATACATTCAGGGAATGAAAGAAAAAAATTTAATAAGTCATAAATAAACAAGCCCATCTGGGAAATTATAAAATTAAACGAATCACTTGAAATAGGCAAATGTAATTTATAATGGGCTAATTTTAAAAATGTACAGTGAACATTTTCGATTAAATTTAAATAAGAAGAATAACTCGGTGGTCAGATCAATAAACCAAACTCAAGATTAGACCTAAATAGACAGTGAAATAAAATTTTAAATTAATTAATATTTTTTAAATAAAATGTGTTCCTATTAATAAATCCTAGCATTTTAAAGGCTTTATTTATATTAGTATTAATGTGTATTGAAAAAGACATATTGCAGTCAATAATGGTCCTTAGGTCTCTAATTGATGTAACTCTAATTATAATACTTAATGTGGTAGATTAACTTATTAAATTATATGCAGTTCTCGAACTAAGAAAAATTAAATACGGGAACTCAATATAATTTAAAAACTGCGTTCCAAGAGCAAAATTAATTAAAAGAGATCCGTGGAAGGTTTTTCTCTTGCACCC